CTACTTAGGCAAGGGGGTTGAAGACGTGACCCCGAGTCAGAATATCACAAGCTCATCGAAGGTTCTTGAGAGGAACATCGTCCTCAAGAACATTGAAAGGAAAATGAGAAAAGGCCGCAAGCAGAAATTGGGCTTGCTTCCGCTCAGCTGGAGTAGGGGAAGGTGGAGGCTTGTAAGGAGAAAAGACCTTATCCGCAGAGAGGGCAAGCCTCAGTCTCTCAGTCCAGCAAGGATTTTGTGGATGAGGAGGTATATGAGCTTCCATGTCGGGAGAAGGAGTAGGGGCAGAAGGAACAAGGGCATTAATATAATTGAGCCAGTCAGAAGAGCAAAGCTTGGCCTTCTGAGCTAAGAACGATGGATCGTACCCTTGTGCCGCTTCTGGGCGTCGAGCAACGTGCACTATCTTTGTAGGCATGGAGGACGTGTACCATGCTACAAGCAGATTCTCCTCCAAACTGCATCGTCAGTCGATGGGCACGTAATGATAAACCACCGAGCTTCGCGCATAGGAAGAAAACTCTAAAGGATTAGTGAACTCGACGAAATGATGGTTAATTTGCTCCCTCAGATCATAGGCCTCAGGTTTCGATCAACTTGCCCAGTCAGAAGCCCCAGAGGAAGAAGAAGCCACATCCCATACAGAGGGTTGTGAAAAAGAACTTTCCATGTCCATATTTGCGACTTTCTGAATCAAAGGATTGAGAGCAGTTCGTTCGTAGTCCAAGGGTGAGTCAGAAGAAGAACTTCCCATGTCCATAGTTATAAGTTTCTGAATCAAAGGATTAAGGGCAATGTGTTCGTAGTCCAAGGGTTGATAATTTACAAAGGCATCCATGACCTGAATATAAAAAGGTGGGTAAAGGTGGCTAATTATTGCATGGAGGTTCTTTCAAGGAGAAACAGCATCATCAGATGACTCTTCATGTGCTCGATCAATGGAGGCGAAAATCGATTCGGCCATGAAAATATATATCAGTCTGTTCGAATACTAAGGTGGTGGGGGTATTCAAAAGATTGAAGGAGAGTTTAATGCAGATGATGAATGACAGTTGCATTTCTGGAAGAATGCAAAGCCCATGTACGTTCTAAGACGTGGGTAAAAGACCTAGATTCACTAATATCACCAAGTATTGGGTATATTAGTGCGGGGGGTAATGTTGGCTACATATTTTGTACAAGCCAATTACAATTCAACGCGTGGCAGAATAAGGGTAATACAGGAAGACTATTTAAGTCTTCGATCCTGATCGTACACGTGGCAGTTAGTATTGGTTATTACGAGATCTGAGTAGTAGTGGATCAACAAAGAGATGCAAGGTGATGTGGCTTCAACGGTTACTCACATTTAAATTCAAATTTAAGAGGGAAGCCTAACTGCAAGTGACAGCATAGTGGAGCTAATTATAAGGCAACATGATCAGCGATCATGGAGGAGCATTTCAACGGTTAGAAATGCAGTTCGATGGTTATCCTTGAGAAGTATAAATAGCAGAGAAGGCCCACAAAAATACCCTCAGACTCAAATCCAAAAAATTAGTCTTATTCTACTTATTTTCCTTTTTAGTTTTACATTTCCAGTCTTACATTTCCTGTTCTTTACATTCCTGTACTTTAAGTTCTTGCACTACACTTCATTCATAGTAGTAGTTTCAAGTAGTAGATTGTTGTTGTAAACCTCTACGAGGCTGAGTTTGGATCACTGTAAGTTTTTCATTTTAATGAAATGCTTCAAATTGTTGTTCATTTAATTGTTATCTTGTTTAATTCTCCTAAATCAAGCCACCAGTAAAAGTCATCTTCATTGAGGCTAAAAAAACTAAAACTTAATCGTCTGATAATTGGTTGGCAATTAATTTTTTGTAAGGACTGATTGATCATTGCTGGCACGCTCGCAATTACAAAACTAACCTTCGAAAGCCAAAAGCCAACAGTATTACACTAATTTGAAGGATACAAAAAATTTGGGTAATTGATTTTTTATTTATTTTTTCAATTGAAATTTGTAGAGAAAAAAAATAATACAAAAGAGAATAGAGAATACAAAAGCCAACAGTTGGGTGATATTAGCTTGGACTGGTTCAAGTCAAAATAATAATTTAAACTTCAAATATTAAAGAACTTTAACATAAATTCAAATTAATATGCTACCCACATCAATTTTAAGTTGTAATTTTGTAAGTATTATTTTCATTTATCAAATTAATATTGCAATTATGTCATTATAGTCTTTAAATAGAGAATTTGGTTTTGGCCATTCATCTCAACCCTAAATAATTGGTATCCCTCTTTCTACACCCTTCTACATTAAGGACTTGATCAATTTATAGAGAGACACTTTCTATTGAATAGGGGTTATGAGTGTCAACAATACATAAAATATGATTAGTTTAAAAAATATGAATTCTATATTTAAAAAGTGTATTGACGCATTTAGAATGATAAGTCCGACTATTTTATATCAATTAAAAAATGGCATATTGTGTACCAAATGGAAGACAAATTGTAGCTCCAATCCCATAATAAAGAACCCATGGGCTTCCAACAGGCCGATAACAGCAACATATATATATTAAGCCTGTAACACAAATATGGGCTTTATGGAACCGAAATTGGTTTTCATTTTTCATTTTTAGTTTATTTTAGTTTTAGTTTCTATAAAGTCTCACCTACACATCTTACGTTCCAAAATTAAAAAAAAATAAAGGTAAATTACACTCATTTGAAATTTGAGAAAAATATTTGTTTCACATTTTTAATATAATTATACTAACATTTTTTAAGATTTTAATTCATATAACAGTTAAGTCCTATTTTATCAATAAGTCGTTAGTCATATTAATAGGGAAAATTACCCACAGGTCCCATGTGGAACATGTGAATACCATTTAATCCCATAACTTTTTGAGTACATCCAAAAGTCCTTTCCTCTCTCTCTCTATGTTTTTTGCTTCCCTTCCTCTCTCGTTTTTTTTTTTTCTACATTTTTCTCTCATCGTCTTTGTCATGGACGACGACCGGTGATCATGTCTTTCTCCATTGATCGGGGTTCACTGATAACCGCCAACCATCGAAATCAACTCGTGACTTCACTCTCACTGACGACGAAGATAATATATTTCCGACGAAGAAGATGAGTGGATGTACTTAGATCTAATGTAGATCTAAACAAAAAATAGTTGCCGGAATACAATCCTCTCTCTACATGCGCCTTTTTCCTTCGATCTCTTTTTTTTTTCTCTGCTATACGCTTCTGTTTTTCTGTTCTAATGGAGAAAATTTTCAAATTCTGAACAAGTAGTTTTCGAGTTTTAGTTACAGACGGTGAAAACTGTAAAATTTTACAATTTCAAATTTTTTTGGTGCTGGAATGAATCATGATATAAAACTATAAAATTTTACAGTTTCATAACATGTTTTTCAGTTTGATTAATAAGGATAAATGTTTAATAGATTTTTGTTTTGAAACTGTAACATTTTACAGTTTCAAAACTTACTTTTCAGTTTGATCACTATTTAGAGATTATTTGCTTGAACCTTACAAAAATTGAAAAATAACATATGTTTTCCCCATTGTTGCTGTTTTTTGTTGTTTCATTTTTTTTTCCTTTTAGTTTATCAATATTTAGCACATTTTGCTATGTTTTTTTTGCTATAATTTATCCATTTATTCTTTTTTTTTTCCGGCAATATTCTAGACATTCCGGTGAGTCTCTAGTGATATTCTTAACGTCCAGTGAACGTTCTGAACATTCCGGCGACTTCCATTAACGTTCTTAACACTCCGGCGAACTTCTGGCGAAACTCCGGCGACTTCCCGGTGATACTCCGACGACTTCCCGGCGATGTTGAACATTCCGACGAGTCTCCGGCGACCGTTTGACGGAAGTCCTACGGTAGTAAGATGTGAACAGTGTCTGTAAATTAAAAAAAAAAATTGATTTTTTGGCAATAATTAAAAATGTATTGGACTAATTGGTGTAAGTATTTTGTTTTGGGATTAGCTGGATTTTGAACTTGGTATATGGGACTTATCAGTAAGTTCCCCATAAAAAAAAATGAGATTGTCATCTCTTAAAATATATACTGCCTCCATCCCACATGGGTAGTCCCTTTTAAAAATTTCAAACTTTTTAAGGAAACATAAACATTACACTTTGAATTCAAATTTTAAAAGATTAATTCTAAAAATACCTATTTTTAAATATTTATAATTACTTTATAATTTTTAAAACTTTTAAATTTAAAGCTTTAACTTTTCAAAGTAGACATGTATTATGAGGCACCAAAAAATGAAATAATGGACCAACAAAATAGGACGGAGGGAGTACCAATTTTTGTTTATTTTAATATTTACTCACCATTTATATTAATTTCAGTCGATTTAACTTTACTAAAAGGAAAGCCAAGTGTAATTATATCACAATTAATGAAAGCATTTCAACATATACTTTTCAGTAATATTCATGGTGAATTTAAGGAACTTTGTTCAATGCTAAAATGAATAGTAGATCCACGGATTCTCAGATATGCAGCATGCGGACCATTCCCTGTTACGTATGTTATGTGTGTGCTGGTGACACTCGTCCCCATAAAAGACTAATATATTTGAGCAAAACAAATTTCATTAGGTAGGGTTAAGAGTTTGATAGATTTGTTAGTGTTCCCTTCCCATTGTCTCAGATCCACCTCCTAATTTGTCAAATGTTCATCTCTAGGTCAGCAAAGGGCATGAGAGAGAGAGAGAGAGAGAGAGAGAGAGAGAGAGATTTAAAAATAACAAAAGAATCAATTTACTAGACAGTCGTTTACTTGCAAATAGTTGTGGAAAAAGAAGATCTTGGTTTTCTGAGAAGCATACTAATTTATGGAGTTGGAACTTCAATAAGCCTACCCACTGTGGACCTTCCACCAAATTCCAATACCTGCTACAATAGTTTACTATTAATATGGATGATGATCTATGAATACTTCAATTTCTATAACAAATAAAATATTCCTGTACAAAGACTATCCTTCAATAGTGAATACTTGATTACTAGTGACAACAACATTAAATCATATTCAAATAGGATGTATACATCATTTGATTTATTTGTACAGACACAGAGAAAGATAGATACAACCATTTTCAGCTTCAAAATCCATGGATTCACCTCATAAGCCTACCAGATCTCTCTCCACCAACCTCTTCTTCCTTTTCCTCCTTTTATCCACAAATCTTCTCACCTTGTTCATTTCCACAACTTTCTATTCTTCTTGCACTCTTAAGAGTCTTAACCCACCACCCATTCCTGCCGACACTGCCGCTGTCATTACCGACTCAGCTCCTAAAGATGATGATTTTAAAATATTTGATGACTCTCCAACTGCTTCAGACTCAGACTTGCCACCTGAATTCATAGCCTTCACATCTGCACAACAACTCCCATTTGGATTCAACACCAATTTCGATTCCGACAGATTCTTCCCTCCGGTTGGCCGGCCGTGTACCCTCTTTCCTGATGAACTGCAGCGCTTCATGTCGTACAAAGTCAACGGTTCGTGTCCTGATGATGAACTCCTAGCTCAAAAGCTCCTTCTAAAAGGCTGTGAGCCACTGCCTCGCCGTCGCTGCCGTCCCGTTGCTCCGGCGGAGTACGTGGAACCCTACCCTCTACCTGTTAGCCTGTGGTCCACTCCATCTGATTCTTCAGTGGTCTGGACAGCATACACTTGCAAGAACTATACGTGTCTCATCAACCGTAAGCGTAATCAGAAGGGTTTTGATGACTGCAAAGACTGTTTTGACCTCGCAGGTCCAGAGAAGACTCGATGGGCCGGACCAAACATTGGTGGCGGACTCGACTTTTCCATTGATGAAGTACTTGCAATGAAGAAGCCAGGGACAATCCGAATAGGTCTTGACATTGGAGGCGGTGTGGCTACATTTGCTGTAAGAATGAGGGAAAGAAACATCACAATTATAACAAGTTCTATGAACTTAAACGGTCCTTTCAACAGCTTTATAGCATCTAGAGGAGTCATACCTTTGTATATAAGCATTTCTCAGAGACTTCCCTTCTTCGACAACACGCTAGATATTGTGCATTCTATGCATGTATTGAGTAACTGGATTCCAACAACGCTGCTACACTTCTTGTTTTTTGACATCTACAGGGTGCTTAGGCCCGGTGGGTTGTTTTGGCTCGATCACTTCTTCTGTGTGGGTGAGCAGTTGGAGGAGGTGTATGCACCGCTGATTAATAGCATTGGATTCAAGAAGGTGAAGTGGGTAGTGGGGCAGAAGCTTGATCGAGGGCCAGAGCTCCGGGAGATGTATATTTCAGCCTTGTTGGAGAAACCATTGAAGAGTTCTTGGTGACTGTAGCCGTAATTTCTTTCATTTTTCCAACAAAGAGAGGTTTATGTTTTTTATATTTCAATTTTCATTTTCTAATCTCAGAAACTGTCTCCAAACAGTGAATAGATTCACAATTTGGTGCAAATCGAATCAAGCCAGACTTTAGTAAGATTAGGGGAACAAAATTGCCAAGGGTTAACAAGCACAAATACTTTTAAGAAGATAGTGTGTCCGTATTGAACATTGACACTCATCAAACACTTCTCAACATGTGTCGAGCACTCATCCAAACATGTCCTATTTTTTTCAAATCCAAACACGACTTTGGACACATGGGGGTACACTGGTCTATCGTTTAGACACATGAAACTAATTCTAAATTTAGACAAAATAATTAGAATACAATGATAAAAGAAAATTAACGTAAATTCATATGAATTTATATAATATTATAACTTTTATTATCTTTGAATGTTATATTCATATATGTGGTATATAATAAACATACATAATTATATATTTTGTGCATGTACCTCACGTCTTATGTCCTGCAATTTTTAAAAATACCTAGCTGGCACATTCATGGCCATGGCCCTGCTTCTTATGCTAGGGGCATGTTAGATGCACTTGTCGAAATGTGTTACCTCATAAAATGCACATGGGTTCAGTACATATATACGTTAAGAAAGACAAAATGACAAATAGGACGAAATAATACTAAAAGCAGGGATTTTGCATTACTTGCTCTTAATTGTAGAAGATGTCTCAAACATGAGCTAAGATTCATGACTTAAAGAACATGGTCACCCCAATGCAAAGATGTCTCTCTATTCTCTAATGCACTATGACAGGACAGTTTATTTTCAATAAGCATGAAGATGCATTTTCTTCTCAAATTTGTTCAAAGGGTGCTATGCAAAGTAAAGATTGTATCTGTATTTGTGGCCCTTGGATTTGTTCAAGAAGGAATTAATGCTTCACATAATAGTAAATGGAACACTGAGAGTTTATGTTGGAATCAAATTTGTTTTTGAGTCTGCCACAGAAATTCTTCTAAGATGCACTGCCAAACAGCACCATTTTAATATTTACTTTGTAATCAGCATTAATGTTATGATACTAATGTAGACAAATGAAGGTTCCTATACTATTTGCCTTTAAAGATCTCTCTCAGCACCTTAGCCATCCTAATCTTAGATTTCAACTGGGCATGACTAAGGTCCAAGGGTGTCTGTGTATGCTTGGTGATCATTTATCTTCTTGAAAGTAGAAAAGTGGTCCGGCGATTATAAAATTGGTTTAGTCAGGTAAATCACATACAGCATACACAGAAGAGAGATGGGTCAGCAGCAACAACACAAAAAGTTAGTAAGATGGAAATCACCGGTATAAACAACTAGTACATCATTTTGAAGTAGTTGGTGGCAAGACTATCAGGTTTCCTAAACAATGCCAAAAATACACCAAGAAGTAGAGGTAAAAAACAATTGGCTCATGGAGAGAGGGGGTGGGATGAATCTGATGTGACAATCTATAACTCCCTAATGGGGAATTGGAGAGATGAGAGATATTGAAGGAAGTCTATGAAGCATGAACAGCTCTCTGGAGGTCAATACAAGTGTCAGACACGCTAGGACACTTGGGACACGTTGGGGATACTTTACACACTGAGGACTATTTAATTTTAAATTTTTTTACTAAAATAGCATACCTAAGGCTGATAAATTTAAATATTTGACATAAAATACGGTATACCATACACCATTAAAAGCTTTTAACATCAATCTCTTGAATGATAATTGCTTAATAGTTTTAGTAATTGTATTCAGAATTAGCATGGTAGGATCAGGCTGTCCCACAAGAACCATTTTGGATGAGATTTGGAAAATAGTAACAAGGGGATGTTTGGAGGAATCATCAAGGAATTTTCAAGTCAAGTATTTTTCAGTTAGCTAATACTAGTCTGTTTAGTACAAAACAGGGTGTCAAAAGTGCACTTGCATACAACTGATAACAAAATCTTAAAAATAGAACATGAAAACTCTAACAAAGATACAATTAAAGATACACTAATCAACAATAAACAACAATTACACAATGAGGTTACAAAACGCAGGCAACCACACATTTACATCTGCACAAAGACTCTAGCCTCAAAAACATACATACAGAATGACATCACCAGAAACAGAGAATACTATGATATATAAACAAACCAACAGTGCTAGGTGCACATATACAAAAACACAAAATAAGACGCAAATCCCTAACCACAAAGCAAGCAAGAGCTTAACCCCTAGCAGAAAATCACTTGTGTTTCCTTTGAAGCCCCATGAGAGAGAGAGAGAGAGAGAGAGAGTTGGCAAATCACCAAAAATCATATTATGTTCTCAATTCATATCAAAGTAGGCTCGTAATTAAAATGTGGGATGGGCGACGGATAATTGGGTGACAATTCAAAGTACAAGAATGATTAGAAAAATTGAGTACTTTTAACTTAAGTTTATGCATGGCCGTGCAAGAAGTCACGCTACCCTCCACTACTTCACTGCAATGGGCATGCGAAGAAGTTGCGCTATCTAGAAGCACATCTAAATGTCTCACCAAACCACGCTTAATTTTATATGTGGATTTTTACGGCCAAAAACCCAATTTCAAGGTCCACCAATCACAATCTTCAATGATAGGTAAAAGGAGATGTGACAACTCTAAAACATGCTGTGCCAAAATATGGTGTTGCTACTACAAAAGCCGGATCCTAGGACCAAAACTCTTCATTTGAATTTAAAAAAAAATTAGTTATAGAGGCTTGAGTTTAGTTGAAAGTACATGTGAATGAGTTCTTTGATTTTTTTTTCCTTCTTTCCCACTGTAGATAGGAGTTTGACAACCTAGTGGAAGGTTTCATGAGTAGTAAATCCTTTAGGATAACAATAACAAGCTTGGATTACTAGCACATGACCATTCATTTTTATTTTTATTTTTAATCATCAAAAGAAAAGGAAGCTTTATTGATAAGAAGAATGTACAAACAAAGATGCATACAATCATGAATAAAAGAAAAAGGAGTGCACATCCACGCTAGATATTGTGCATTCTATGCATGTATTGAGTAACTGGATTCCAACAACGCTGCTACACTTCTTGTTTTTTGACATCTACAGGGTGCTTAGGCCCGGTGGGTTGTTTTGGCTCGATCACTTCTTCTGTGTGGGTGAGCAGTTGGAGGAGGTGTATGCACCGCTGATTAATAGCATTGGATTCAAGAAGGTGAAGTGGGTAGTGGGGCAGAAGCTTGATCGAGGGCCAGAGCTCCGGGAGATGTATATTTCAGCCTTGTTGGAGAAACCATTGAAGAGTTCTTGGTGACTGTAGCCGTAATTTCTTTCATTTTTCCAACAAAGAGAGGTTTATGTTTTTTATATTTCAATTTTCATTTTCTAATCTCAGAAACTGTCTCCAAACAGTGAATAGATTCACAATTTGGTGCAAATCGAGTCAAGCCAGACTTTAGTAAGATTATGGGAACAAAATTGCTAAGGGTTAACAAGCACAAATACTTTTAAGAAGATAGTGTGTCCGTATTGAACATTGACACTCATCAAACACTTCTCAACATGTGTCGAGCACTCATCCAAACATGTCCTATTTTTTTCAAATCCAAACACGACTTTAGACACATGGGGAATACACTGGTCTATCGTTTAGACACATGAAACTAATTATAAATTTAGACAAAATAATTAGAATACAATGATAAAAGAAAATTAACGTAAATTCATATGAATTTATATAATATTATAACTTTTATTATCTTTGAATGTTATATTCATATATGTGGTATATAATAAACATATATAAATATATATTTTGTGCATGTACCTCACGTCTTATGTCCTGCAATTTTTAAAAATACCTAGCTGGCACATTCATGTCCATGGCCCTGCTTCTTATGCTAGGGGCATGTTAGATGCACTTGTCGAAATGTGTTACCTCATAAAATGCACATGGGTTCAGTACATATATACGTTAAGAAAGACAAAATGACAAATAGGACGAAATAATACTAAAAGCAGGGATTTTGCATTACTTGCTCTTAATTGTAGAAGATGTCTCAAACATGAGCTAAGATTCATGACTTAAAGAACATGGTCACCCCAATGCAAAGATGTCTCTCTATTCTCTAATGCACTATGACAGGACAGTTTATTTTCAATAAGCATGAAGATGCATTTTCTTCTCAAATTTGTTCAAAGGGTGCTATGCAAAGTAAAGATTGTATCTGTATTTGTGGCCCGTGGATTTGTTCAAGAAGGAATTAATGATTCACATAATAGTAAATGGAACACTGTGAGTTTATAATCAAATTTGTTTTTGAGTTTCTGTCACAGAAATTCTTCTAAGATGCACTGCCAAACAGCACCATTTTAATTTACTTTGTAATCAGCATTAATGTTATGATACTAATGTAGACAAATGAAGGTTCCTATACTATTTGCCTTTAAAGATCTCTCTCAGCACCTTAGCCATCCTAATCTTAGATTTCAACTGGGCATGACTAAGGTCCAAGGGTGTCTGTGTATGCTTGGTGATCATTGGTCTTCTTGAAAGTAGAAAAGTGGTCCGGCGATTATAAAATTGGTTTAGTCAGGTAAATCAAATACAGCATACACAGAAGAGAGATGGGTCAGCAGCAACAACACAAAAAGTTAGTAAGATGGAAATCACCGGTATAAACAACTAGTACATCATTTTGAAGTAGTTGGTGGCAAGACTATCAGGTTTCCTAAACAATGCCAAAAATACACCAAGAAGTAGAGGTAAAAAACAATTGGCTCATGGAGAGAGGGGGTGGGATGAATCTGATGTGACAATCTATAACTCCCTAATAGGGAATTGGAGAGATGAGAGATATTGAAGGAAGTCTATGAAGCATGAACACCTCTCTGGAGGTCAATACAAGTGTCAGACGCGCTAGGACACTTGGGACACGTGGGGATACTTTACACACTGAGGACTATTTAATTTTAAATTTTTTTACTAAAATAGCATACCTAAGGCTGATAAATTTAAATATTTGACATAAAATACGGTATACCATACACCATTAAAAGCTTTTAACATCAATCTCTTGAATGATAATTG